TCAGAAAAATCAGATGGCCTTACTTCAACCATTCTTCTATTCATATAAACCAAATATGGAAGGAAATCCTAATATTTAGAGATTTAAGAGTTTTGAATAACCAACACACTGGAATTATTTAGGGTAAAAAGAAATGTAACTCCTGGGGCACTGTTTTTGATATCCGAGACACACACTGTAATGAAGACATTGTTAAAATCGATTTTACTAATACGGTCCTTCACTGTCTTGACAGGGATGCTACAAGGAAAACACAAAAGGTGGCCAGCTCCAACTCAACGTAACCAGAACTACCACAAGGCAAAATGAATGTGACCGCAGTCCAGGGAAGACAGCTCAATAGGGTGGGTGCACGTTTGGCATGCAGGAGGCCTGGGTATACTCCCCGGCACCACAGGGTGCTCTGGAAACCAAAGAGTGACCCCAAACACACCTCCCCCACCAAACCCAAACACAAAAACTCAATATGTAAATCTCACAATGACCACCCAAAGAAAGGGGCAGTCAACACCATTATTTCAAGCTGGCCTTAACCACTTGTGCCCCTATGAGTTAGTTGTTCGCTTCATGCCTTTGCTTCCTCATGTGTAAAATGGGGATACTTTCCAGGGTTATGGTTGTGTCTAATACAAAGGCCGAGGCACTGGAATTTAACAGTTTTGAGTGTTTTCTAGAAAGCAATACTGCTAGAGTGGGTAGCCACCTGGCAAAATTATTTATTGATCAATGCTGGTTCTGTACTCAGGGCTTACTCTTGACCCTGTGCTGAGGGAGGGGGGGAGAGGAATAGGGAACATAAAGATGTTGGTTACTGAACCAAGGCTGGCACATCCAAGGCAAGCAAGAAACCCCCCCACCCCCCATCTCTCAGGCCCCAACCATTCTGAGTCAAACAAAATTAGCAGCTAATTTCCAACTGCAACTCAGAAATAAAACAAAAGTCGATAAATAATTTTATAATCGTTATGTATATCACAGAGATGAATATGCAGTTAACAAGTAGTTCTTTTTCTTTCCTTTTCTCAGTTTTCAGAAAGCTGTTTTCTGGACCCTGGTTGTAGGTGAGGGACACAGCACATTTTTCATAGGCATGAGACCATGCTTTGATCTCTGGCACCAAAGGGAGGGAATAAAAGAAGCTGTTTCTGGATGTTTAAAAATGCTCAGTTTGTGCTCAATTGTACTAGATTAAGTAACTACAAGATCCCATTTGAAAAGACCCCATCTAGGCAATTTTTATTAAACAGGTCAGTTACTAAAAACCTTTATTCTTATTGTATTGGACCACATCCAGCTGTGCTCAGTGATTACTCCTGGCTCAGTGCTCAAGATCACTTCTGGCAGGGTTCAGGGAACCATATAGAGTGCTGAGGGTTGAACCCAGGCCAGCTGCGTGCAAGGCAAGTGACCTACCTGCTGCACTCTCTCTTCAATGCTACTTTTTTTTTTTTTTCAAACAAAAAGCTTTTTATGTCGGGTAAATGTTGTGTCTTTTAAACCAAATCAACATTTGCCATATAGGATTTTACTAAGAGCTCAGTACCTGAAATCTCTGAGGATATTCACAGAGAATTTTGTTCTTGGGGAGAGGGGTCTCAGTCCTGGCTCTGGGGATGGAACTGGGGTCAGTCCCATGTAAGGCGGGCAATCCAAACCCAGAACTATCTAACCAGCTCTTCCACTGAGCTTTTAATGAGACAGTCCGAGTGAGGCTGGAGGGCCTGCAAATTTCTTCTTTGCTTATTGTTTTGCATTTCCCCACAGGTGCCAGGCACCCCCAGGTGTCAGGGAGCAAAGCCTGGAGCCCCGTCACGCAGCCGTGCACCCCCAGGCCCCAGTCACTTTTCAAAGGCCTCAGTGGAGATGCTCCCGTCCACCTTCACAGCACAATGAGTGCAGACCTAGGCTTCCCAGCATGCCACAAAGGTGAGGCTCTCTGAGCACCCAAGGCTCTCATGCACACCCTACACCTGTGAGGTGACCAGAGGCGCTGTCTGCAGCCTTCTCCACTCTCCGGAGCTCACTGGACTCTCCGCAGAGAGAAACTCGACAAACTTGCTTCAGAGAACGGATAGACACTGGGAACTCAGTGCTCGAGGGGGAAAGGCAGGCGAGGTAACACGACTCTACACCACCCCCAGCACCATGTTTAAACAGCATTTTCCCAAAGAAACCTGAGGGTTGAACTTATCTTCACAGCGTTCCAACACGGAGGAAGCCTCTGCTACGAGCCCCATGTTACTGCCCCCTCACCCATTGGAGGGGCTTTCTCGGTGCTCCCCAAACACTCCAGACAAGATTCTGCATTAACCCGGGGTCATCTTGCGGCCCACAGGCTCTGAGTCACATGTGGACAGAGACCACGTGCTATTCACCACTTAGACCCCACCCCCACCCCCAAGGGTAGCAAAGCAACAACCCAGAGGAAGGAATTCATTATGTGAGTTGATAGTGCAAGGAATAAGCAACTTCCAGGCAGAGACTTCAGTGGGGCTAATTTACTTGCTTACTTTTTGGTTTGGGGGCCACATGGTGTTCAAGGGCTACTCTTGGTCTTTGTTGGGGATGGGATGGGGGAGGGGGGTTGACCCCAATAGTGCTCAGGGGCCCTTGTGGTGGCGAGACTGGACTCCCAGCATCCTATCAAGCTGTCTCACCAATACTAGTTAGCTCTTAAGGCATCTTCATACTCTGGATCAGGAGTTATCCCTGGGAACTTCTCACAGCTAATAAACATCCAGCTAGTATTACAGGCAATACAAGAGGAGAGACAAAAACCTAACCACTGGGGCTGGAGTGATACTACAGCAGGTAGGGTGCTTGCCTTGCATGTGGCTGACCCAGGTTTGATCCCTAGCACCACTTATAATTTCCTGAGCATCACCTAAGTGCAGAACCAGGAGAAAGCCCTGAGCACAGCTGGGCTGTGCCCCCCCCCTTCCATAAAATAAAACCCCTGAAACAAAATCTCCAACCATACAAGCACTCCAGCATAAGACGGCAGAACGGGAAGAAATGTGCACAGGTAAATCCATGTGCTCACCTGGCCTCCGGTTTCTCCTTCAGCCCCAAATATCCTGCGGAATCACAAGCCAATTAGTTTCACTGTCTCCTGGCCAAGGCTGCACTAGGGGTCTTCAGTTTCAAGTGCTAAAAGATAGTTTGGATACACACGCCAGCATAGCCACATTCCACAATCCTTAGCAAGACACTGAGGCCTTGAAGCATATATTACCAATGTCCTGTGTTGATCCTAGAACATGGCTCAGTCATTCTACTGTGGCACTAGCTTAAAAGACCCTTCCTCATCTTCCCTGTCCCACCTTCAAATACCTTTGCTCATGTCCTATCATTCCCCCGTCACTGAGTCCTCTTGTCCACACTCAAGGCGATGCTGATTCCTCTTCAGCATACATCACAGCTGTATCAGTTCTCGCATTTTTATGTGTGTGTGTTTTTAAGTGTGGAGCTATGCATAAAAGATCAGTAATCCTGAATTGCTCTGAAGTTCTATTTTACTTATGCCAGGTATACTAAAAGAACCATATAAAACTCATTTAAGAAAGTCCTCAGGGTAGGCTGGAGTGATAGTACAGGTACGGTGTTTGCCTTGCACGCAGCAGAACCGGGTTTGGTCCCCTGCATCCCGTATCGTTTCCCCAGCACCACCAGGAGTAATTTCTGAGTGCAGAGCCAGGAGTAACCCCTGTGTGACCCAAAAAGAAAAAAAGAAAGAAAGAAAGGAATTCCTCAGGGGCCTCAGGCAGAAGTGCAGCGGCTTTCTTCCCAAGCAGGAGCAAGCCCCACAACTGGGGAATGTCCCAATCAAACAACTTTCTTGAATCTCTATGAGTCAAGTCTGGATACCTTAATATTTGAACACCTACAGTTATACTGCTGGAATTTAATATCACGATCCCAAAGCCAATGTTTTAAGAACAAACAGGGCCCAAAGGACACAGGCCTTTCCAGAAGGCCTAACTGAAATCATTCAACGCAAAAAACAAATGCCCCTGAAATCTGGGGGTTTGATTTTCCAGCAATCTCCACGTACTGCCAACTTGTGATGTGACCCTTTACAAGGTTAGTCTCAAACTGCTCGTCTTGGGCGTATCCCTGGTGTGACAGTAACACACACGCAGGAGACTAGGATGTGAAATTAACTTTGGCATCTCAAACCAAAGGACCGTCCTTGGTCCCTCCCCACCGTCCCGTCGGAAGAACCGCCCACCGGCACAGCCTGTAAGGGGAGGACCACGGAAGCAGCAGCCAGCCAGTCCCAGACGCCACCAACCCCAGGAGCAGCTGTGTCCCTCGACTTCACGGCAGAAACTTCCCCTGCGGGACACCAAGACTCTCTCACCTGGAGCCACAGCGTTTTTTCCCCTCGTTGTGACAATCCTGGTGGTGAGTGGTATGTGGTGCCTACACTAGTGCCACGGTCCCCAGGTGAGTTGAGGTCATGGGCAAGGCCAGCTGAAGCGTGTGTACTCCTCGCTCCCACACCGACAGTGCTCATGAGAAGCTCCACCAGGAGTTTCAGAAGTCAGCAAAAATCCAGCGACCACGTCGAGGCGGCCTGCGGACGCGGCGCGGCCCGTCCCCCACCGCCAGGGCGAAGGCGATGCGGGCCCCAGCAACGACACCCCACTGGGTCAGCTCGACGGGGCGCAAGACCCCAAGGTCCTCGCTCTGCCCTGTTCCCTCGGACGTGCGTCGCCGTCCCCCTCACTCTTCCGGGCCCTCCGACGGGCACCGCCGGCCACCCCTCACTCTCCCGACCCCCTCCGACGTGTACCGCCGGCCCCCTCACTCTCCCGGTCCCTCGGCCGGAGCGTCCCGGAGCGCACCGCGAGCAGCGCTGGAAGGCGCTGGCGGGCGCCGGGAACCCGTGACCGGTGAGCGGCTGCGGGCCGGGCCGCAAGGACACACGAGCGCGGGTCCCTGGGGGGCCGCCCCGTCTGCCGGCGGAGAAGGTGCCCGAGGGGCCGGGCGCTCACCCACGGTGGACTTGCAGGCCTCGCAGAAGGTGTCGTCGGTGAAGCGCTCCATCAGGCTGGTCTTGCCCACGCCGCGGGAGCCGATGATGATGACCTGCAGCTTGAAGTCCGCCGGCCTGGGGGGCTGCTTCCTCCGGCGGGCCTGACCGCCCGACAGAGCGGGGGAGCCCGCGACCAGGCCGCCGCCCCCGGGCCGCCTCTGCAGCGCGGCACCCGGATCCATGCACGCATGCGGCCCCGGCGGCCCGTGGGCTCCGCGCTGCAGCCGCGCCGCCGGCCGGCCCCCGGCGCCCGCGTCCACGCCGCCGCCGTCCGGGGAGGACGAAGGGAAGCAGCCACTCCGCAGCAGCGGCAGCAGCATCCCGGGCCGGGCGGGCGCGCAGGCGCGGGCGGGGCGGGACAGGACGCGCAGGCGCGGGGCGGAGCGGGCCGGGGCAAGACGCACAGGCGTAGGCGAGAGGGGCGGGCGCGCAGGCGCGGAGCGAGCCGGGGACGGGACGGGGCGGGGCAGGACGAAGTGCGCAGGCGCAGTAAGGGGCGGGGCGAGGCAGAACACGCAGGCGCGGGGCGGGGCGGGAGCGGGGGGCGGGGCGGGCAGGATGCGCAGGCGTGGGGGGGCCGTCAGGGGGTTGGCACACTGTGGCCAGGCATGCGCGCGCCCTCTCCTGGCGGGAGGACTGGAAACAACTGCGGCCCCACTTTCTCGCGCCCTCCTGCCTTTCAGAACCCTGCTTGGAAGTGACAACTAAGACTCTTACTTTTTTTTTTTTTAATTGAATCACCGAGAGATACAGTTACATTTGAGTTTCACTCATACAATGATGGAATACCCAACCCTCCACCAGTGCACATCTTCCACCACCATTGTCCCCAGTATCCCCCCCCCACCTCATCCCAACCCTCCCCCTGCCTCTATGGCAGAAAATTTTCCCATACTCTCTCTCTACTTTGGGGCATTATGGTTTGCAATATAGATACATTTGGTCCTTCATCTACTTTCAGCACACATCTCCCATCCAGAACGAACCTTCCAACCATCATCATTAGTGTTTCCTTCTCTATTCCAGCTGCCTTCTCCCCCAGTTCATGAGACAGACTTCTAGGAGCAATATTCCTGGCCCTTGTGTTTACTGTCCTTGGTTGTAAAAGACTCTTCCTTTTCTCTACCCTCCTGCTCTCGCCTTTCACACGCCCCTCCCTTTCTCTGTTTCACTGAGCACAACGGTTTCCAGTTAGTAGCTATTACTCCCCACAAACTGTAGCTCTCCGGGCAGCTGGTTTCCAGGACAGTTGCACACCTGAGCTGCGCGGGGCAAGTCACACCCTCCAGACCTCCAGCGCGGGTCATGCCACTCGGAGACGGCCTGGGGGCTAGGGTCCTCCCCAAATGCCTGACGCCCCAGGAGTTCCGCAGAGGTTTGAATTCTGATCGCTGCCGCGTTCAGAGTCCTACAGTTTTTAAGCTGTTTAATTAAAACAAAACAGAACAAAAAACCACGTGACATTCTCCTTTTGGGGGAAGCGGGTGAATGAAAACTCCACAGGAAAAGAAACTCCCAAAGTTCAGGGATTATGGTTTTGGCCGGTATGTTTTGCCGCTTGTAGTAGAAAGACAGGGTGGAGACAGGGAAAAAAAAAAAACCCTTACCGTCCTGGTTCCTTGCCAGGGATTTGTTTAGCAAATTCCTCAGCGTGAACTTAAGCACCTCAGAACACAGGGTTCTAAATATGATAGGCGCTGGCACATTTGCCAAGTATGATCACATTACCCACCAAATTTCAGCTTTATTTAGAACTCGCTTTAGTAACTCCACGCGGGCATTTCCTTCCAAACATTTTGTGACCTGGCCCCACAAAGTAAAGGAAAAGAAATTTACATCTGCAAGAGAAGTCTTAGTTTTCCAAAGACAATCTCAACAGTCTTTTCAGTAGTTAGCATATCTAAACTATAGATGTTTTAAATAATAGAATTGTTTCTGCAGTGATTGGACATTATTTTATTTCAAGCATGGTTCCACGATTTTACAATCTTCGAGTTTCCTCAACATGCAACGTCCACTGCAATCAGCCTGTCTCCTTTCTGCTCTGAGACTACTTTGCAACCAGCCCCTCACAAAACTGTGAGGATGAAACTGATATTCTCAAGTTGTCAACCTGTGCATGGTCTCATTAGTGTTGTCAGCCAAGCCAGACACTGGTGAGATCCAACCTGTTCTTCAGGATGTCTAGGGCAGATTTGCTGACCATTGATGATGTGTACCTGGTGTCTATGCAGCAATCTATTGACTGAGGGACTCGCTGTCAAGTATGGACTGTGTGCAATTACTCATAGTTAATAAGCCATGATAATGGATATTCAAACTGCTGGGTACTGACTTTATTTGATGAACCTGAGATTTCTCCTTAGCAGAACCAAGCAAAGAGAGGATGCCACACAGAGAAGCACTCAGCACTACGTGGGGGCCAGCAGTCCATCACATAACTCTGCTGGCAGGATTGCGTCCCACAGTCACAGACTCCAGGTCAAGCTTGCCAAGCGTCAGGCCCAGGAGTCCAAACTTGACTTGTCTCAGTTCATCACTTAGTTTCTGTTCTTGTCAGCAAGTGACTTGAAAAACAGCATAATACTAGGTTCTGGTCAGTGAGACACAGGAAAAAGCTTCTGGAGAAAAAAGACTTCAAGAGAATAGAGGTTCTAATTTGAGGAATATAAAATAACATAATATGAGACTGACACCCAAGGACCGTAGAGACAAATGGTAGGAGGATTGCTTTACAGTTGGTAGTCTGCCTCATGTGCTGGGGGAGAAGACCACTCCACTGGGAGAGAGAAGGGACCCCTAAGTCAATGATGGTTGGAGGAATCACTAGGGATGGAGCTGTGTGCTGAAGGTAGACGAAGGATCAAACATGATGGCCTCTTAGTAGCTGTATTGCAAACATAATGCCCAAAAGTATAGAGAAACTTAAAAGAAAAGTGCCTGTCATAAAGGCAGTGGGTGGGATGAGGTAAGGGTAGCAGGAGTGATATTGGCGATATTGGTGGTGGGATGGATGTTCAATCATTGTCTGACTGAAACTCAATCATGAAAGCCTTGTAACTGTATCTCACGGTGATTTAATTTAAAACAGAGAGAGAAAATAGAGTTCAAACAAAAAGCTTCGGGACGGTCTTCAAAAGACGCCCAAGAAGAGATGGTCATTTTACGCCTCTGACAGAAAGTCATGTAAGTGTGTAGTAGTTACAGTGCTGTAACCACATTTTAACCTTGAGAACTGGCTGAGGCACAGATAAACAGGTCTGGGACTTTGTGGTCACGATGAGGGTGACTGGTCAACCATTGGGAGTTTTTCTTTATGAATATTGGACCCTCCAAGAAAATATAGTCTTTTGATTTAAGTATTTTGAGTTGGACCTTTTCCATATTTGTAACTGAAATAATCCTAACAAATGCCGAGATTCACCATTACAAGTGTGACTTTATAGATTGAGCTTCCATCAGTCTTGTTCTTGGCACACCCAGGTTTTCAGAGATCCCTCCCTGCAGTGGCAGGGAACCAATGCAGAGCTGGGGAGGAACCAGGGCTCCCAAGCTTACCGTGCATGCCTTCAGAATTTTTGTTCCGTCCTTTTAACCCAAACTTATCCCTTTGAAAGAAGTATAATTTACAAACTTCATAACTTTACTTCTCAATAGCAAATTGCCTGCCATGTGCCTGACAAGTCATCACAATACACAAGTGTTTCCCCATCCTCATTGGAAGAGCAACAGATAGGAGTCGCTGGAGAAGAAACCATATTCGATATTGGCATATGGACACACGCACACTCACACATGCATCATCTACCACCTCAGAGCAGTTCCAGGGTATGTGGGGCTTGAAGCTTTTCCAAGTTTCTAGTATCCCTCCTTATGAAAAGAAATCTCAAAATTATAAATGCCAAACAAACCATCAAGAACTGTGAAGGGTCTAGGATTTGTCTTACTGAAAAGATGGCAAGTTTGCATGAACCAGTCTCACAGATGCTTCTGGGCAGAGGGCCAGAGACCTAAAGAAGGAGACGAGATCAGTGTTGTTCTTGCCAAGACATATTCTCCCCTCCTAAAGTGTGTGTGTCTGTGTCTGTGTCTGTGTCTGTGTGTGTGTGTCTGTGTGTGTCTGTGTCTGCCTCTGTGTCTGTAGCAGGAATTGAACTCAAAGCTTCATATATGCAAGGCCAGTGCCCTTGCACTGAGCCACATCCCTGGCCCTCCCACTAGTTATGTTGAGGTGTAATTGATCTACAGCCATATGTTCATGTATTTACTGTGCAACTTAATGATCAGATATATGTATATGTTACAAGTGATTATCCTAATAAGTGCAGTTAACAGAAAACATCTCACATAGTAAAGTTCCTCTTTCTTATAAAGAAAACTTTAAGTTCTATTTTCCTGAAAGTAATACAATATTATATTTTTTCTTTTAAAAAAGTTTTATTGTAGTTTGGGTTACACAGGTATTTAGTGCCAAAAGATATGACACTGATGCACAAAGTTACTGCACCCTACTACCACCAAAGTGTCCTCAACCCCCCATCACTGCTCCACATCATTTACAGTCTAATGTTATTAAAACTAGCCCAGTAGTGTTAAAGCTAGTCCAGTAAGATTAACAGTAGTCTAGTATTATTACTCATTGTCATCATACTGTACATCGCATACTAAGAGCTTATCTATTTTGAAAGTCTTAGTCTGTGCTCTTTCACCCCATTACTCATTTTGCTCTTGTCCCATTCCTGCCTCTCAAAGCTCCCACTTGTCCTCTGTATGGATGGGGTCAGCTTTTTAAGATCTCCCATGCAAATGAGATCATACAGCGTTTGTCTGATTTTCTGGAGCATTACACCCTCAAGTTCCAGTCTTGCTGAGAATGCTAAGATTTTCTTTTTACTTGGGTTGATATCACCTGTTCCTTGACCACTGCTGTTGTGGCGACCGGGGTCATATACAATTAGCTGCAGTGCGAGGACACACTTGGCTCAGGTGTGTGAAGGGGATTGCCTGAATTTAGCTGTGGTGCACAGAAACTCCAGGGTATAGTACTCCTCAGGGGTCACATTCCCAGCCATGGTGCTCGTACATATTTTTGTTTGTTTATTTGGGGGCCACACCCATTTGGGCTCAGGGCTTACTCCTGGTGGATTCAGAGAACTAAATGGGATGCTGGAGATCAAACCCAAATTGGCCACATTCAAGGCTAGTTAATGTGTAGCCACTAAGCCTCCTAACGAAGATTATAAACAGAATGAAAGTGTGTTTCAAATGACAGATAGCTTTTTTAATACATTTAAAATATCCAGCAAATGCCCTAAACATAATTTTAAAGCTTAGCCTTTTTATTAACTATGGAGATT